AATGGGAAAATGTTGTTATTCTCATTAAAGAGTTTGTTACACATTTACATATCTCTTATAGAGATCAGTCTCGGTTTACACAACAAAGATAACCGGTAATCTAACTTAACCAAACCAAACCAATAATCAATCTTATACTCCAATATTAATCATCTTTCAGAAAACTCCTCTCTTACATAGCTTTCAACAAAATAGGCAACAAAAAAATATCACAAAGTCCACATGTCTTGAATTAAAGCTTTTTATTGGCACTGTTCGATACTATTGTTCAACCGTCAGATTCAGTTTATCGATAATGTACTCTTCCTAGGTGTTCATGATTTGTTTATATGTTAATTGGTCTATGTTTGCTTATTTGGTTTTCCGATTAATTCATGGTTAGTTTTTGGGTCAATGCTACTTTTTGATCAAGTTCTTGGTATTGTGTATTCTGTTATGCAGTTGCACATCTATTAATATAACATTTTAAGATTAATTTGGCTATTAGTAAGTGGATGAATATCATAGATGCTAATCGCAACCCCATCCCCATTCTCTGGGATGTGGAGAATGCTTCTCTAGGTATGGCACAACCCAACAACCTCCTCAACTCCATCATGAATGCGCTCAGTCTTCTCAACATTCATGATGTGGTGATGTTGTGTGTTGTTATTGAACAACGTCGTAGTTTAAGGTGTGGCCGTGATTATCTACGAGTCATCCACTAGGTTTCGATGAATGGGGACCCGTTTCCACCAGTTCAGGTGGCGGCGACAACTCAGCCCCATATTAAAGACTGTTTTGGATGATTTGAAACTGATTGTTGGGTCTAAAGACGTGAAGTTGATAGCAGTTCCTGCTACAAAATTCATATGTGGAACTTCTTCTCTGGACGAGAAACTCTGGGCTAATATGCTTGACAACATAATTATAGAGTTTTCACAGTCTGTTGAACTTGGATACACAAGTGAATCTTCTTAATGCTAGTAGATAAGAAGATGATATGCTCAAAGACATTGGAGATGCGAAGGAGTTCGTGGTTTCTTCATTGTCCAGGGTTTCTTATGGTCCTCCTGGGAGATACCCTCAGGTAATTGCTCAAAAATCTAGAGAAACCTAATCGAGGATTTTTGTGTGAGCTTTGCAACTTGTATAGCTATAATATTAATTGAGGAACCTATAAGGGGTAAAAAGATTCGTAAGTGTCAATACCAAGTAATAAATTTACTTCTTGCCTTTTGCTTCAGACGATATTAATACAGTCTTATTGAAGTTGCAATTTGGTGGTGGCACAGAAAAGACAAATGAGGGATTTATTCAATGAAACGCAGCAAAGTGTAAGAACCCAGAACTGATACGTAGTGTAAATTTACTACTCCATGCTAAGATCATTGGTGACTTTTGAGTTGCAGCTTTTGAATTTAGGTGTTGAGAATACTGAACCAAAATAATACTTGCTAATAAAATGGTCAATATTTGCATTTCTTTTGTTACACAGAAACTCATCTATTGACATTTTTGAATTTTTTTTAAAATGATGGTATTTTAGAAAAATGTTATTTCAAAAGTGACATTTCTAAAAAATGTCATATTTTTGTTACTTTCAAATGAATTACAATATAAATAAAATATATTTCTTGTTTTAATTTTGTATCCTTTATATATTAATTGGAGAATGATTTTTCCAAAAATGTTTGACCCAATTTTAATTTTAATTTTAACTCAGCCCCATATTCTTAAATTTTTATTCCAAAAATCACTTTCCCAATTTTAATGTGACATGACATCCCTTAAAATATGAGATGACATTCTCTCTAATTTAACTCATTAATCTCTAATTAAAATTAGCCCAAACTCAATAATTAAAATTAACCCAACTCAAAAAAATATGAGAATGATGGCTCCATTGATGAAGTTAATAAGTGATTATAAAAAAATAATCTCACGGAATAAAATATTATTTTTACATGTTTTCTTTCGATTAATTGATTAGGGATTTTAGTTATTGCTACTTTTAAAAATAATTTTGTTTTGGATTTTAATGGATCTTACTTTATTTCCAAAAAAAGTTATTCAACCAAAAAGATCAATTAAATGAATAGATTACATTTCGTTTCGGTCCAAATGTAAATTTATGTATCATCAACTCCAAAGTTAAAAGTATGATGTAAATTTATGTATAATCAACTCAAAAGTTAAAAGTATGAAAATCTTTAGTAAAATCTACACAAGATTAATCTGACGTTTACAAAATTATGAAAATCGTTATCTCCACAAATTTGCCTATCCGGAATTTAAGAATATCTCAGAAATAAAATCTATGAGCAACTATAAATTTAGAAGTGTAAAATTTGGCTGCTTTAAAATTTATGTATCAAAATCTTTGATAATTGGGAAAATTGCGAAAATGTCACTTTTTATGTGCATATTTGCAAAAATACCATTTAGAGGTGTTCATTTGCAAAAATAACACTAATTATAGATTTTAAAACCTTATATCTTAAAATTCTAAACACTAAAAAATGTTTTGACCACAATTAAACCTCATAACTAAACCCTCGTAAAACATAATTAACTCAAACATAAATAATATAAAGAAATTTTTTTTTTTGAAAACGTGACATTTTTGTAAAGATTTCAAAAGTATGGCTTTTTTGTAAAGTGGCACTTGAAAARTGGCATTTTTTGAAATTTTTCTTTATAATTGGAAATATTGAAAGTTTTCAATAAAAAAATTAGCATTTTCGATATCTAATTAATAATGGACATATTATGGTCCGGAATTTATGTATCATCAACTCCAAATTTAAAAGTATGAAAATTTTTAGTAAAATCTACAAAATAACAATATTGTGGAAATATTCTAATTAAATAAGAATTACCATATTATGATTAATTGATTAACGTTACCAATATCCAAAATTTTAGTACCATTATTTATAATTGGAAAACTAGGGAAATCGTTAAGAGTACTCCAAAAAATATACGATTTATTTTAATACATTTCCTAAAAATATTTCAGAGACTTTACTACCTTCGAACGTATTTTAATACATTTTCATAGAAATTGGAATTGAAGGTAGTAAAGTCTCGAAAATATTTTTATGAAATTGTATTAAAATACATCGTATATTTTGTGGAGATAATTTTAACGATTTCAATTATTTGTCCCCACATACATGATTTGTGAGAATATACTTATGTGTCATCTCCACGATCACTCTCACAAACAAAAGTTATGATATGGCTACCAAAATTGTGACATGAGAATTTTGAATCAATAACAAAATCTTGCACAACTAAGTTTATATTTGTTACCATAAATAAATCAAAAGAGTTTTTAATCAATATGTTATTAGATTTTTAATTTTATTCTACAGTTATATACAAATTTGGTTTCTCATTTAAAAATAATTTAGAAATTGATTATTGTAAAAATAAAATTATAGAACATTTTTATAGAATATATATTCTTTTGAAAATAATAATAAAGACTTAGCAATTTTTAAAAGAGACTTTTATATGTATGTGAAAAAACTTGGGGCACAAAAGGAGAAATTTCAAAAAATGCCACTTTTCAAATGCCACTTTACAAAAATGCCACACTTTTGAAATCTTTACAAAAATGCCACTTTTTCAAAA